ACATGCGGCTACACATATTGTTATATATGTCTCTCTCTCTCTCGCTCTCTCTCTCTCTCTCTCTCTCTCTCTCTCTCTCTCTCTCTCTCTCTCTCTCTCCTTCTCTCACACACACTCTCTCTCTCGCTCTCTCGCAGGACATCTACCACCTGACGGGCCCGCTCTCCGAGGCGCAGATCGCGTTCGTCAGCAAGGAGACGCTTCACGGCCTCGCCTACCTGCACAGCAAGGGCATCATGCACCGCGACGTTAAGGGCGCCAACGTGCTACTCACCGACGACGGCGACGTCAAGCTCGCCGACTTCGGCGTGTCCGCGCAGATCACGCAGACGCTCTGCAAGCGGCGGTCGTTCATCGGCACGCCGTACTGGATGGCGCCGGAGGTCGCCGCCGTCGAGCGCAAGGGAGGCTACAACCAGCAGTGTGACATCTGGGCGGTGGGCATCACGGCGATCGAACTCGCCGAGCTGCAGCCGCCGATGTTTGATCTGCATCCGATGCGTGCGCTCTTCCTGATGTCGAAGAGCGGGTTTAAGCCGCCCGAGCTGAAAGACCGCGTGAAGTGGTCGGCGGGGTTCCACGCGTTCGTCAAGGTGGCGCTGACGAAGAATCCGAAGAAGCGGCCGACGGCCGACAAGCTTCTGCAGCATCCGTTCCTGCAGGGGGCACTGCTGAAGCGACTCGCGAAGGAGCTGCTCGACCGCGTCAACAACCCGACGCAGCTCGCGTTCACGGCCGCCGACGCCGAGACGGACGACGAGGGCACGGTCGCCAACGTGCCGCGCCGCATCCCGTCGCGCGAGCCACGCGGCATCGGCGGCGGCGGCGGCGGCGCGGCGCGGAGCCCGGACGCGGGCGGTTTCGGCGTCGACCCGGTGACGCTGACGCGGGAGCCGCCGCCGCCCGCCGCGCTCGCCGGAATCTACGACAACCTGCAGTGGCAGCGGCGGCGCAGCGACCCGGCCGCTCACGAGGGGGCGCTGGCGTCGCCGCAGCAGCAGCCGGCGGCGGCGGGCAGCCCCGCGTATGGCGAGCGGGACTTTGTCGTCTCGCAGCAGTCGACACTGCCGATGGACGCTGGGGCGGCGGACGCGGGGTCGCCGACGTCGGCCGCCGCCACGGGACTCGAAAACGGCGGCGGGGGCGTCGTCGACGAGATGGCGACGCTGACCTTTGACACGCCGCCGCCGCCGCGCGACCCCGATGACACGGACGACGACGACGACGCCGACGTGAACATCCACGGCAGCGAGACGCTCGCGCCGGGCGCGGGGCGACGTCCCGCGCCAATCAGCACGGCCGCGGACCCGCAGTCGGACATCTACAACGGGCTGCCGCCGACGCCGCAGGTGCACATGGGCGCGTGCTTCCTGAAGGTATTCAACGGCTGTCCGCTGCGCATCAGCTGCACGTCGAGTTGGACGAATCCGGAGACGCGAGACCAGCACATCCTGATCGGCGCCGAGGAGGGCCTGTACACGCTCAACCTGAACCAGCTGCACGAGACGACGATGGACCAGCTGCATGCGCGCCGCTGCCTCTGGGTGTACGTCATCAACAACGTGATGATGACGCTGTCGGGGAAGAGCCCGCAGCTGTACCGGCACGACCTGACGATGATGCACACGCGGCAGCAGAACCGCTTCTCGCTGCCGATGAACCGCATCCCGGGGAAACTCGTGCCGCGCAAGTACATCACGACGGCGAAGGTGCCCGACACGAAGGGCTGCGTGCGTTGCTGCGTCGGCCGCAACCCGTACAACGGATACCGATACCTGTGTGGAGCGACACCGACGGGCATCGTGCTGCTGCAGTGGTACGAGCCGCTGAGCAAGTTCATGTTGCTCAAGCAGTTCGACTTCCCCGTGCCGTACACGCTGCGCGTCTTCGAGATGATCATCACGCCCGACCAGGAGTACCCGGTCGTCTGTTACAGCGTGCACAAGGGCGCCGACCGCAACCACCTCAAGATGGACATGGTCAACCTGAACTCGGGCTCGCACTGGTTCGGGGAGACGCGCGAGGACGCGGGCGGCGGCGGGGAACAGCTGGATGTGATCAGCGTCGCCCAGCTGGAGAAGGACACGGTGCTCGTCTGCTTTGACAACATGGTGAAGATCGTCAGCATGCTCGGCCGGCTGAAGTCGGGGCACCGGCGCGCGAGCGAGCTGCACTTTGACTTCCAGGTGCAGTCGCTCGTCTGCCTCGCGGACAGCGTGCTCGCGTTCAACCCGCACGGCATGCAGGGCCGCTCGCTGCGTGAGAACGAGGTCACGCAGGAGATCTACGACAAGTCGCGCATCTTCCGCCTGCTCGGCAGCGACGGCGCCATCGTACTGGAGAGTCGGCCGACCGACGACCCAGCGGCGCCCTCCGACCTATACATCCTTGCCGGACACGAGAACAGCTACTAGAGAGCGCTCCTACTAGGGTCGTTTCCCCTCGTCGGGCGAGAACAGCAGGGGATCTTAACCTGTGATCCACGGACCCCTTGGGGACCCCTTTGGGGTCCGTGGATGGGTTTCAGTGGGTCCGTGAACCCCATTGTATGCAAAAAAATTTTTTTTAAAGGAATAATAGGTCCATTGATTATGCAATGTTGACAAATGCTAGAGTAACTGGCACCTTGTGCAGTTAATAAGTACATGACCTTATAGCCAAACACGTATTAGTTTGTCCAATATCACTGCTGGTTACTAAGAAATGTCTTGAATAGACATTGA